ATCTATCGATATTATTGTTTAAATTTTGTTGATTCAGTTGTTGGTTTTGTTGTGCTTGTGGTATATTATTTTGAGGGGGGTTACCATCATCATTGTTGTCATCATCATCATTACCATTATTACCACCATTATTTCTTGGTGGAATTTGTCTATTTGGTCTTTGATTGTTATTTGAAGGTCCTTGACCTATGTTATTTGGCATTTGAATTTCATTTTCAATGTAATATAACCTTTGTTCTCTGAGCAATCTTACCAATCTAGGATTGATACAGTTTTGATTTCAACAGGGGGCGTTCGGATCATTTCTAGCATGATTTTCACCACTACAATATCCGCAAGCAGCTATGTAGTTTGGTATACGTTGTCTTCTTGGCCTGTATAGCCTATATAGGATTTGTCTGGGTCTATGATATGGTTGGTAATAAGGTCTGTATTCGATGTCAAACCAAACATTTGGTAATACAATTACTAGATAAATACATGAAATGGTTTTTATTATAATAAAAAATAACAATAAAAATTTATACATTTCTAATCATAAATTCTGGTACTATTTTATGTTTGAATTTATATTTGGAACTATTTTTAAATTTATTAAGACCTTTTATTAATGCTCTTTTATGATCGTTATCTATCTCAGCTCTTCTAGCTTTATGAATAGGACAACTTTTTCTATTATGACCAATGGTGCCACACCAACCACACATTCGTATGGGATAATACGGTGCTTCAAAATATTTTTTTGCTGCAGCTCTGATTTCAGCTACATTTCGTAAGTTTCTACCTTGATTATTTGCCCAAGGACATTTTTTTCTATTATGACCTAACGCACCACAATATATACATGATCTTCTTTCGGAAAGTCTGTTTCTAACGATTTTATGTGATTGCCAGGGTACCAAAGTTTTCCCATTCTATTTAATACCATATCACCATCATCGTAAAATGCTGTATTAATACCAAATTGTCTTGGGCATGTGTTTCTGTTATGTCCTTTTTTTTGACAAATTCCACATAAACTATCAACCAGAGTCATTATTGATAGTAATACTAGGAACTGGAAACCAGTAAAAGTCCGAAGCATAAAAGTGCATATAGCTGTATAGTACTTCGTAAAAGGAAGCAGTACAAATCGAAATATTCGGCCAATCAGCAT